TAGTTTTGTTTGTTAAAATGTAATCCTAACAGTGAAATGTGGAAGTGATGTGATATTTCAGTGTTCCTATATCAGCTTTTGAGAGAGCTCACAGGCGACTCATTGATATTTTCAGGAAAGATAATTATGTTTCTAATGAAATAGTTGTGGCTGAGTGAGTCTAAGGGTCTCATTCTGTGTCTGAGTTTGAGCATTGTAACTGTGCTGTTTGTGCTGTGGGTGGCTGCAGTGCCTGTGTTCTCAGAGCCACCAGCTCACCTGGAACACTTTCTGGAACTCTGGCACGCGGTTTTTTAACTGGAGGCGGCTACTGCTGCTGAAGTTGCGCTGGGCAAGCTGCCTTAATACCTGCGTTGTTTGCACACGAGGCATCACACACACACAAACAAAAACAAGAGTGCATTGGATTAATATTTTAGTGCCTATGCATTGCAAAAGCAGCCATTATGTGTTCAACAGTTCCTTTTTACCATGTTGTGTACAATGCCACACTTGCTATACCCACTGAGAAATGACGTGCAGCTCTGGAAATAGGCCATACCTAATTTTATAAAAACGTAGACAAATCAAGAAGCAGTTGCATGTTTTCCAAGGTATTTCCGGACACTTGTAAGATGTAGATAATCATTAATATCATCAAGTTGTGGATGTACTCGGACGGACTTTCATCCCCGCTGTGATGGTGATGGTGCATTCAGTTTCGTGTATGTGTAATTTCTAAGCCATATTTCTCAAACTATAGAGAACTACCTTGAAGATTATAGCCCATATGTATTATGCACAATGTATCTAAAGACCAGCAACCCAATTATTGGACATTTTGTAGGATTCATGAGCTCATACAACTCAACTGTTCCCTGGATAAGCATCACATCCCCAGATAAATCCAGGGATGTCAGCTATAAAAGACACAGCATTGTGAAAAAATCATGTTAACAATCTGCGCTTTGCTCTAGCAGCCCAAACGCACGTGTTTCATTGGAAACTGAAGGCACACGTGCGTGGAGTGATGCAAGTGTCCCCCTGCTACGGCAAGCTTCCCGTCCACCGCCACCTTCAGAGCCGTGTGCGCCATGGATGAATGGCACCATGCGTGCCGCATGTGCACGTGCTTCTAGCCCGCGCAAGCTTTGTACACATGTCATGCAGCAAGTGTTTTCAGCGATTCCTGCACTTTACTAAAGTCTTTGTCGTCATCCAATGGTGAAGAAAGGCCTCCCCATCCCATGTTGGTCATGGGGGTTGTTTGACCATACTTCACCACGTTGGTCAGAGGTATAGTGAAGGGCCGGAGGACCCACAGCTGGTTCAGATATCGCTTGTCGTGACCGGGCAGAAAACCCAGGCCGCTGGTGTGATAGCTAACCGCTGTTCCATGACTTCATCCACTTCCTGGAAAGTGCACTGTGCATATGCACCTTTTTAAGCATCCCCAAGGACACATTTGAACCCTCTGATCTAAACCTTTATTTTCATAAATGTAATTGAAAAAAAATTACTTACCCTAGTTATGTGACAATCTACCAATATGTGAAGATAAAAAGTTTATCACGGCCATTCCACCTGATATGAGGACACCTTGCTATCACTTCCATCCTTCCGCTATACATCTGCCATCCAACGTCTACTCTCACATTAAAAGACCATTTGTGAGTTTATTAACCCAGTGCTACTGAATGTACGAAAATGAGCAATTTTTACTTTTATCGTTAAAATAAATGTCTTTAAGCCCTCTTCCTAATGCTTAACTTTACGCAAGTGAACTCAAGACTGATCACGTCAATGCTAGCTTGACCTCTGCCGAGACATGAGTGCATGCTTGCTGGGTGTGTCCGTCCCCTGTTAAGCTGACGGACTCTAGATGCCCTGATAATGCCAAAACGGATTTTGCTAAACGAGTATGTTATCAGCATTTTCTGCTTCTGAAGAACCCAGAACGCTGCCCTTTGTTTCAAACAGTGCATTACATTAGATTTTGATTTAAAGCTTTCGTGACTGCAGTAACTCATATTCCTAGCTCTTTCGGTAAAGTCACGGTCATCATCCACCTGATGATGACCGTTTGTGTTATGGTCGAAACGTAGTGAGAATTTTTTATTGTTTTATATATATTTTATTATTTTATTGTTTCCCTTCAACGTGACTTTACCGAAAGAGCTAGAAATAGTGCTTTACATTGTTTATAAACATAAACACACAAAATAACATGAAGTATCAAGGGAAAAAGCATTAAGCAATCAAATATCATAAACAAGTGCAAGCTAATATATTTTAAAATTTCTCCCTTTAGCTCCTGGTCAAGACCAGAAAACAGAACATTCCAGACAAAAGGAGCAGTCAATGATAAGTGCTACCCAAATAAGACAATGGCAGGAGCAGTATGTTGACGTGGATCATTTACGAGAATGCGATAAATGATTATAGAGGTCGGTAAGAGGCAGGCCGCAGCAGGGAGGATGCGGAAGTCAGAAGCCAGTGGGGCAGGCCTGGATTAGGAGCGGTGTCTCTTAGACGGCGTCTATCTGTAAGGCTCGTACAGGCAATGTTATGCACCAATCAAAAGCTCAAACCGTGAGGAATAAAACTGATCTCGGTTGGCAGCTCTGAGTCAATGGCGGATATTCCATATTCAAATGGAAAGGGGCAGTCTGTCCTCAGAACGACCACTGCTGTCTTCCCACAAAGTGGTACCGACTTCAAACAGACGATGGGCCGAGTCGTACATGTGCGGGCCAGTGGGCCACCGAGTCCCCGAGTCCCACGCTCATAGCAGCCCGGGTCACCACGGGCGCCGGGACGGCATGACCTTGTCTGCTACCGACGCGACCAGAGTATCCTTCACGCCGCTCATCTTTTAACAATCTAATCCCATACCCCGAAATTACGCAACATAGTCCTAGCCTCAAAAGACCTCCAGTATGATCCTGCTTGGGATGTTAGGCCAATCCCCTATTTCTGATGTTACACGGATCCGGAGCGCAAGGAGAAATACCATGCGTATGAGCCAAGACGAAGGTGACAGTGTCTCCGACAAAATCACCTCTAATGCGACCTATCTCGTGATATTCACTCGTGTCTGGTTAGGGCTTGAATGGGTGACCGCTAGTGCTTTCCAGGAGGTGTAGTTGTTGAAAAAGCTTGTGAAGGTGCCAGGAAATGGCAATACAGTATCGAAATGGGTACAGTCCACATTCCGTCTGCCCAAATGAATATAAATTTAATGTCGGGGTTTATCCCCTGGTATGCATGGCGAATTTCTCCGGGTTGTCCGGTTTCTTTCCACACCAATTCAAACACTCATTCGTGGAATTTAGGCTATCACGGCTACGTAATTGCGATTAGAGGTTCACGTTAACAGTCCTACGCCATTATCGCGATGTTAATTCGTCCATGTGGAGTCAGGGTCCTTCCGACACGGCCGGACTTGGCGACTCCGAGGAGCGCAAACGACGCGCGACTCGCACCGCTCCTGCGGGAGGCCCCGCCGCGACCCGGCCGCGACGGGAGCAGGGCACCTCGAATACCGTGCGGCCCGCCCGCCCGCACACAGCTCCGAGACGCGAACTCTGAGGACGACGACGCGACCCACAACGGCGCGGGGCTCGCCGCGGCTTCGATGGGGGAAGGCCGGAGACCTCGTGGACACAGCGCCGCGACCCCGCAACGGAGCGATTTCTGTGAGAGGAAGGGAGAGGAGGAGGAAGAGGGGCAGAGCGCGGCCGCGCCTCTCACCATGAGACTCCGCATGGCGACTCCGCGTGCTGCTGCTGTGCGGCTACGCGCGGCGACCTCAGCGACAAGGACGAGATAGACGGAAGTGACGTCACGAATCCTGGGGACGTGCAGGACGGACGTGACGTCACGGTGAGGCAGAAGCGCGCGCAGTGCGGACGTGACGTCAGCCAAGAAGGCTCGGCCGGTGAAACCGGTTTTATTGTAATAACCGGTTAATCGCAAATGAACACCGGTCACTGATTAGCAGCACATGTAGGGTTGTCTTGAGCAATAAAATGACCTTACCTCACTGACCAACGAAGGGAGCTTCCGTGGGGTAATAGCCAATGTGCCAAGAAGGGATATTTCCCGAAACGTCGCCTATTGTATTACCTTTGGGAGCTAAATGCCTATAGCGAGGTCTTCTCGCCACGAGAGGGCTTCAGGAGAGTGCGTGGTTTTTATTTTATTTTACTCCGTTAGCAGAGGGCAGCCTATAGTGGTTTACTGTATGGTCCACAGTTTGGGTTGCATCAGATGTGTTAATGTTCTGATGCGGTTAATCGTCACGCCAGTCTTCGAGGAAGACTCTTATTCCATGAAGTGCGATGTCTAGCATGGGCGGAGTTTGGTGGTGGGTGGTACATGGGGGCAACGCCCCCCAGAACTGGGCACCTTTATTTATTTATTTTCAGTAGTTTAAAATTAAGATTAAAATACATTAATTATATGAACGTAGATAGAAAATAAAAATAACAAATAAAATGAAATAAGATAAAAAATGAACAAATTTCTTATTTTTATTTTATATCTACGTAACTTTACCGAAAGAAACAAGAATATGAATTACTGCAGTTACGAAAGTTTTAAGTCAAAAATTTGTATTATATCCACCCGCGATTTCTAATGTCAGGAACTAATTGACCCCCCCCCCCACCCTCCCGAAATATAGAAGTGAAACTCCGCTTATGATGTATTGGTATTGAATGAGGCGTCAGCGCTGTCCACGTTCAACTCTTCGCCAACAGCAGCTTTTTGCTATGGTGGCCCTCCAAACATCTCTATTCCCCCCTATTGAAACTTGAGGGAGCAAAATCTGCTCCCAGTTTTGTGGCCTTCCCTTGTGTGGGCTCCTCCGAACGTTCCGCAGGTCAAACCGCGTGGCGCGTGTCTCGCCACGCGACGCCCATTGTTTTCACCACGTGACTGGACCCCGGTGCCAACATCGCCGCGCCCTTCCGTGCCCCACGTGCGGTTCCACATCCTGGATCGGTTCCGGTCTCATCCGGCACAGGTACCCGAGATCCGGTTCCGGCCCCCACATCCGGTCTCGCGCACCCTAGGGGGGGAGGGGCGAGGAGCCGCCTCAGTGCGGCCCAGCGAGGGCAGAGGAGCGGCGGAGCGGGGCAGCGACATCACCAACAAGCACCAACAACATCGCCAGCACCAACAAGGTCGCCAACAACATCAACATCACCAGTATCATATTCTTGGTTCTTTCGGTAAAGTCATGTAGAAGGGAAACAATAAAATAATAAAAATATATAAAGCTAAAATTCTCACGACGGTTCGACTGCAACACAAGCAATCATCATCAGGTGTGGTTTTTTACACGTCGTGAGAATTGTATTGTTTTATATTTTTTTTTATTTTATTGTTTCCCTTCTACGTGACTTTACCGAAAGAACCAAGAATATGAATCCTTGCAGTCACGAAAGCTTTAAATCAAAAGCATGCTCATAATTTACCTCACCATTATGTCCATCATCATCATGACCATTTCCATCGTCACCATCACCGTTACCTTCATCGTCATCCATGGGTGGTCATCATCATCTTCACCATTTTCATCACCTCTTCATTATCCTCATCACCGTTATCACCACCACCAACCCGCGATCTTCCAACGCCTCCTTGGGCTGCCGGGGCTCTGCATGAGGCGCCGCGTTGTGCGACGAGCCGGAGGGTTCAGTGGAGGGGTTCGGGCTCCCGCGTGCAGCGAGTCCAGTGAAGAGGTGCGAGTGAAGAGTGTTAATGGTTTATTATGAGTAGAGAGCGTGATGTTGTTTGTTTTGTATTTACCCAGGAAAACCTCACCGAGTCTCAGGACTGTTGTTCAGGAGAGTCCTGCCGAGTTTTCGCAGTTGCGGGCGATATTGCTGGGTTTCATCCCTATTGAGTCATTTGTAGGTACATTTCGTTATCAAGTTACTTGTATTGTGGCTGCAGTGATATTCTCAGAGACTTTGCGTAACAAGAAAGGTGTTTTTTCTTCCGTTTAGGTATTCATGGCTTCAACTCAATTCCGGTGCAATACATTCCAGAGTTATTAAGGGTCACTAGTCCTGTGCTTATGCATTGCAAAGGCTCATATCAGCACTCACGGATGTGTGATCGTATCTCGTGCAGTGGAGTAACGCGAGGCTGTGTTGAGGAATGAGGAATGCTGTCTTCGCTCGCATCGCGGCTCTCGAGGAAGCGACGTCTCGTTCTGCACGGCGTGTCTGATGCTATCGCGGAGAGCGCTGCATCCCTTAGCTCACGGAGAGCGTTGGGGGGGGGGGGGGGGGTGCAGCAGCAATTCATATTTTGAATAGCTTCAATGTGCCCAATCTCGTCAACTCTCATCAGCTCTGGGAATCTGAACAGGTTGGAGCTTGGATATCGCTCGCTGGACGGGTGACCACCACGCACAAAGAGGCTGTCTTGTGGGGAGTGTGGGACTATTTGGTGGGCAGCAGAAGCCCGTGCAGGAAAATGCCATTGTTTAACTGTTCTTGTACGCTCTCACATTCATCCTCCCTACCTTTACCAACCGTGGTGAAATATGGTTAAATAACCCCATTAACCCACACGGTTTTGGGAGCCCTCACCTAGCGGTGGATTGACAAACAGGATGCACATGCATCATCACCTATTCTCTCGGAGTTTTATTAAAGTGACATCTGCCAAGCAGTGCTCAGTTTGGATTACGCACAGCAGCATCACCTCCTACTGAGGCTCTCCTGGGTAAACAAGAGTAATACAAATTACAAAACTAGGTCACTCACAAACCTGAAATCATCTCTCGGGCTACACGGTTGCTCTGCAGGAGAATGACCTGTGGCGTCTACTGTTGCTCTCTAAAAATTGGGTTCCTTGTGCTGCCCGAGTTTAAAATGACTAAATTTGCGGCGCCGTGTGGCACAGTGGTCAGCAGGTGGAATTTCAGTAAAATCTGATGTTTGTAGTGAACGTCTATGCTCCCGCCTCAATGCTCTCTACCGTTACCAATCCACACTGACTAGCGCCGGGAAATGATGGTCAAATAAACTCCCATGACACGCAGGGCGTCGGCAGGGCCTTATCCAGCAGTGGAGTGACTAAAAGATGTGTCCATGTGTTGATGTTGACCGCGAGTGTTAAGGACCTAATGACTTTGGGAGGACAGGGTTGGTAGTTGCAGTGCAGCACCAGCAGGTGTTCATCGATATCGTGGCTGCGAGCTTGACCTTTCTGCTCGCGGGTTTGTGTGCTGAAGGATTGTGTTGAGCACTAATCCTGGTTATGCGTTGGGCCGACCGAGGTTCAAAGAGACCTCTCGGGGGGAGGGGGTTGGCTCTGAGCCAGAGTAATCTCTCGAGTGTCTGGAAGCGGAGAACACGGGCAGCTTGGCACCCGCAGTGCGACACGCCGTGGGGTGACGTGGCGTTGGAGAGGCATGCTGGCACGGCGAGCCCAGCGCTTTGGTCACATCTAAATAACGCACCACGTCCATGCAGAGCTCACGCTGCACGTTTAATCACTCACAGTCGCACGTGATACATATTTAATCAGCAGTATGGAAGCCGACGGATGGGCAGCTGTCAGGTCAAAGTTCATTTGCATATTTGCAAAAACATCCTTTCTGATCTAAGTTTGTTCCCTGTTGTGGGCAAACCCATTGAAATATTGTTTTAATTTTCTCTAGGGTGAATTCCGAATAGCAATGCCACGTCCCACTTCAGTGTCGTTCTCATTTGAGCATCTACGAGAGTTACGTTTCCCCACCCCCGATTACAAGTGGAAGGATGGAGAAAGCTGATGCATTTAAGCTTTTTAACCAAAGTTGGAAAGCATAAAACAACAATTTTACAAACAATGGTGGAAAAAAAATATCTTGCTGTCTTTTTCCCACCTGATGATAATTGCTTGTGTTGCAATCGAAACGTAATTTCTTTTATTTTATACCTACGTGACTTTACCGAAAACCAAAGAGTATGGATTCCTGCAGTCACGAAAGCTTCAAATCTAGAATGCTGGAAAAGAAAACGCTGTGAACTTAAAACACACCAAAAAAATGTATGGATAAAAAAAATCCCATTATGTAAATGAGCAAGTGAAATTAGCTTAAGCTGCCAAATCTTGACAAATTACTAGCTGTGCATAAGACTGGTGAAATAATGAAATGCAGAGGAGCTGTCACCCCTGGTGTCTCGTATAAGAGCACCAGCGTTGCCGTGCGGACTGACGTTCTCTCCATGCCCATTTGGGATTCGCGCGAGGTTCCTGTGAACTTCCCTCTGAGCGACGTTCCCATGCGACTGGGGATATGGCGCGCATCATGAGATGCGATGCACCCTTGCGCCCTGCTTGCAATTACCGAAAAACAATTATGGTAAAACCCCCCACAGGCAGCTCTGCCTGTTCACGTGGGTTATGTCACCCAGCCACACATGCCTCGTAATCCTGCTTATCCCACGATATACAATCGCCGTGCATGATGGAACGCTTTTTGCTTTCTATGGTTACAGTCCAGGCCATGAAGACTGCTGTACGCGCGTGTATGTATGTTGAATTTATTTCGTTCTATACGTAGCCAACCTTGCTAATTGGAGGTGCGAGAGGTACGTTTGCGTGCACACATAGCTCTAGAAGCCTCACACAGTTGTGTGAACAGGATCACTTATTTGTTATGGGTAATAGGGATTAAAACAAACTCGATGAGTGATGTGGTCTGTCAATGGCCCTTGGAGAATTGCTGTTGGGCTTGCATACTTTTAGAAGTGTGAACACTTGTCTACGTGTGAGTCGGTGTGTGGATGCTGGGTGATGTTAGTGTACACGTGTGCTTGCATGTCCTATTGCACGATATCCTGCGCGTGCGCCTTGAGTGCCTGTGCTCGTGTGTGTACGCGTGATGCGCAGGAGCGTGCTGCCAGATACATGAATGGCCATGAATTCCAAGGCGGTGATCAGCAAGGAGGTGTTTGGGCCAAATGACGAGCGCATGCTGGCTGCTATGCAGGTGAAGCGACGTGGCAAGAAGCGCATTCCCTTCCTGGCAACAGGCGGCCCAGGGGAATACGTCACCTACATCTGTGTGTCAGGTACTCGCCCACACAGGGACTGTCACCTCCATCTGTAAGTCAGGCAATTATATATATCATTTGGCTGTGACGAGGAATTGAACTTGGGTTATGCGGGGTGCTGTGCGTTAAACACTTTGCACCGCACCCACTGACACGCGAAAACGCATACGCACTTGCGCACGGGCATGCTCATCGCGTTGTAATGGACGCATGGCATTCATATCGAGATGACAATTCTGAATACACCCTTTCTCCACATACACAGCGGTGAGACACTTGTATAGTGTATTGTGGATTGGCTTAGCACCTACATGCGCTGTGCAGGAACAGTGGCAGTATTTTGTAGAGAGGCAGTCAGTCGCAGGCGGAGTAAAAAAGGAGAGTCTTGAGCCCGGTCTTGAACAGGGCTGGGGAGTTGAGAGCATTGGACGTGCATACTTATAGGCATGCACATGACCATGTATTCTAAACTGGAATTATTGAAACAGGAGAACATCTGATCCTTTCTGATCTCGTTACATTCCCAGGCCTAATTTAACATTGAGGTTCTGCTGTTTTTCTGGAATAATTAACTTGCTTTTTCAAAATATTTTTTCTTTTTATAATTTGAAAAACTTCTTATCTTAACTGCAATCCATGTTCGTTAGCAGGGCCGGCAGAACGGCGATTCTATGCGAGCTCCATGAGACCCAAGACAGGGAAGGACTGACATCTGCTCTGTGTCGCCCAGTGACAGGGAGCTTATTTGCCATATCCCGTCGAGATCACGAGACCAAGACGAAATCAGTGGTCGTTATCCTAGCCGTGGAAGTCCACGTGATTGTCACACGTCGTACGCCGTACATTCTCCTCCATTCGCGATGCGTGGCTCGGCATGCCTGCAGTTGTGACCACATACGTGCTCGGTTACACGCTACAGGAAACATGTAATTGGGCGTTTAATTGCATGCCGCCCAAGTCTCCAGAGATGCTGATTTGAGAAGCCTGTAATGTACTCGGGTGTGTGCTCTCAGTAATTGCACGTGTGTAATAATGCTGGGCGATTCACGACCGCCCACATGTGTACAGAGCAGACACAAAAGGTGCGTGGATCTTGCAAGCCATGGTGTTATGTGCCTGGTTCGGTGCACGTCATTTTTCATCGCGCGTACGACACGCACCTCACACCCCGAAGGGGGCGCAGTTTGACTGTTCTGCGGCATCGCAGGGTGCAGGAAGTTGTTCGCGTTCGCCCGCTCGCCTTATCGCGCCATGTATCTCCGCGCAAGAGATAAGGCTAATGGAGCGCTGTGTCCGGGTGACATCAGCTGCCCCTTCTGGGAGGTCTCACGCCAAGTCACGCATCTCACGGAACCCTCGGGAGCCAGAAGCACGGGGAGGGGGACAGCTCCCTCCGTTTGAACATCACCTAGACTGCACAGAGTGAGCAGGGCCGGGTTTGCAATGGAGCCACAGCGAGACCCGGCCCTGCGTGTAAGATTTAACAATGTATAGGTGCATTTTACAACTGTTTTATAGACAATTAATTTCTTTAAAATATATTCGTTTCTGACAAATGATGAGGCAGTATGACATGTTGCGTTTTTGGTTTAAATATCTTCATATTTTGTTCGCAATGTTTACAAAATGTTTTCCCGACGTGCCCACGGTGTGTGTATACCCAGTAACGAACCGGAAACCGACACAAGGGTTCGTCACGAAGGTGAAGCAGTTTGATGGGACGGCTGGCTTCGTGAAGCGCACCACTTGGGGGCTCGAGCAGCTGCGGCAAGTCAACGGCATCGGCGCTGAGCAGGTCCGGCACTCGTGGCACACACGGCGGGCACACCGCGGGCACGGCGCGGACAGCACACACCCAGCCAACCAGCACACACCACACACACAGCCAGCACACCCCACACACAGCCAACACACACCCCACACACAGCCAACACACACCACACACCCAGCCAACCCAGACCATCCAACCAGCACACACCACACACACCAAACCCTTGTACAGATATGCAAGAGACTTCGATAAAGGTTTAAACAACTTGTGTAAGTCTGGAGATTAATCTGCTTCATGTAACGTGGTACCTGATCAAATAAGACTTGACATTGGGGTTCCTATATATGTAGGCAGGGGAGTGGTGGCACTGAGGTTAGAAAATTGTGCTATGAACCCAGTGACCGCTACGGCTGATATCTGTGGTGAGCGATATCTGAATGGGTCCTTTGGGACACTTCTCTTCACAAACCTGTACCGACTAGTGTCGTGAAGTATGGCCACGCAATCAGGCTGACTGACATTGTGAAGATGCATTCGTGTACAGCAGCCAGCACGAACAGCACCGTGTGATGCAATGCAAGGTGCATATGTTTGTGTCGTGTGCAGGACTGTCCAGAGCTGGACCTGCTGTTCGATAGTGCCCAGGACCAGTGGGTGGCCAGCTCGACGTCCGAGAAGAATACGTTTTTGCAGGTGCTGCACAACACGTGCCAGCGGTACCGTACCAACGGCATGCCCACCTTCGCCAACGTGCCCGCCCGCCTCCTCTCAGGTGAGACGAGCACCTGAGATACGAGCGCGCCGCTTCGCAGTGGCCGTGCGAATGGCATCTGTGTCGAATTTACGAAATTGTAATTTGTTGTTATTAAACCGTTTTTTTTACACAGGAAGGGCCTCGCAGAGTCTCAATACTCTTCTTTCAGGACTGTCCTGACATTTTCACAGTGGGCAGCAACATTGAGGCTATGTGTAATCCCAGTTGAGTGATTTGCAGGTAGTTTTTCCAGCGTTCTGGTGTTGAACGATTTCAGAGAGGCAATTGGGTCATTCTGGGGGATTCTCATGGCAGGTTTCCATGATGCGGGGTCTGCGTCCGGGATTCAGCAGAGCTTCCTATCCATTGCGCAAACCCATTTCCACGTGCAGTCCCCTGTGCAGGCCTCGAGAATAATCGTCCACTTGACTAGCCTTGAGTGGTCCTTGTTAAGCAATAAAACGCAACAGCAGCCTCCCAAGTGCCGATGCTGAGCACTTGGCCAGTACTACGCCCAGCTGCCTTTGCATCGCCAGAGCCGAAGTAGACACACCACACCAGATACCCACTGATGTCTGAATTTCATTGCTAAAAAAACCCTTAAAAAACTCAATTGGGACTCCACAACATCGCCCCTGACTGCCAAAACTTGGCACGGACCTTCCTGAGAGAGATTTGAGAGTCAGCGAGGCTCTGCTAGGTACACCAGCTGATTAAGAACGAAGGCCTCGCCATACACTTTCAGTCATGGGTGTCAATTGGCCATACTTTCACACTTTGGTGTGAAAGATGTCAAATACTGCTTTGAGAGAATAAACAGAAAACCTCCTCGCTTGCCCAGGAGCGCCGCAGGGTTTTCCAGCAAGCATTCTCGACTTCAGTGTCACACAGTTTCCCGTACTTACCGACCGTCAGCTGCATGCAGCTTGCATTGGCTTCATTCGCACATGAAGAGAAAATATTTTATCACCATCGAAAGGCGGAGGGAGCGTGGGGATTGGCGAGGACTCGTCCAGAGAGAGTATGGGAGTACGGCGAGACGCGCTGGTGCTGCCGCTTACAGTGGCTGTCATCGCATGTCCCACTGTAGTGCACGCACAAGGGCAGCGTGGGTCGAACCTTCACACTGGTGTCTTGAGCTACGACTGCGCCTCCGAGACTTCGAACGAGCACTGCCACGCTAGAGCACTGGGTACACTTTCCCTTCAGGTTCCAATGCTCAGGGGCAGGCTTTTTATCTTTTGAAACTGTAGGCCAATTCTAAAAATAGTTTTTAATGCCATGAACAGATTACTCCAAAGGCACATGCAATGATGTATCTTCAAAAACCCAACCTCAAGTGCAGTTCCAGTCACTGGTAAACAAATTCCTTTGTGTGCATGCCCTGCGGTGTTGCAGCGTCTTGAGATGCAGTCGTATATGGACGCTGCACAGATTTCAGCGTGCAAGGTAACAATGTGGGTGTGAACACGAAGATTGAGATTATTGTGTCTGTCTGTGCGCATCCGTGTGGTATGCGATGCAGGGGTGAGTATCCTGGGCTCTGCAGCGGACAGCATGAGCAGTGCCGTGGCTTATGCGAGCCAGGCCCTAAGCGAGCGTGGGGAGCGGCTTGGAGAGGCCGAGGACCGCACGGCCGAGATGGCGCAAAGCGCCCAGCAGTTCGCCGACACCGCCCACAAGGTCAGTCTGAAAAGGTCGCCACCTCTCCCTTCATCACCCTATTCCTTCATTAGCCTATCCCTTCGTTAGCCTGTCCCTTCATTAGCATCTCCCCGCATTAGCCTGTCCCTGCATTCGCCTCTCCTTTCATTAGCCTCTCCCTCCATTAGCTGCACGCTTCATTAGCTTCTTCTCAGCCATAGCCGAGTTTAATGGGTCACTCATAAATCTGGAAAATTGGGTTTTTGAAAAAAACTCTTATTGTAAGCGCTCTTTAAATTTTTACACTGGATGATTGTGTTGCTCTGGGACCCATGCAGAACGGAATTGAAGAACGTTTTGTTCCTTCAGCAATAAAACCTTACCTGGTTCTTCGTATACCATGACGATTCCAAGGTTTATGGAAATACCTTGGTAATGTCAAATGCGCACTGCTTTATAACTATTATTTAACTTGTATTGAATTTTGGTCTATTTAAATCAAGATGTAATTACTTTATAGTCAAATTTGGAATGTGTTTCTATTTACTGCAGATAGTTTTATCTGTACCGTGCGATGGCACGGCAGTCCCAAGCTGCGACTTTTGTTTTGCAAATTTCTTGGATCGATGACGCTCGTCATTTTGGAGAAAACCTTGAAAGGTGTCGTTCGCCTGGACTCCCCCCGTCATGGCGGGACACGCACTCTCAACGGTCTCACAGCCGCACTCGTGTCTTTACGGTGCAGCGCCGTTTAAAGTGCCAGTAGCCGACCGTGTGACGCAAAGCATGCATTAATCGATGGGTACAGTGCTTTAAAGCCCACACATCTATACATTTCAAAACGTATACAGTATTGTACATCACATTACAAGGTCATGGCTTAAAATAGAATGCCTTGACCTATACCTCTCTCCTCAACAATGTGAAACCAAGCAATATTAACGTGAAGCTCACATGATTAGTTTTTTGGGGCATGACTGGCCCCGCAGTAGTTCCGAACCCGCGGTGTAATGAGCCACTCTATATCGGCCGTCTACTTTCCCCTTTTGAGTAAGGGCATCGTCATTCAGCCTCTTATTGGGCATTGGAGTTGAAATCAGGAATTCTGTCAAAAAAATTAACATTATAGATGTATTTTTTTCTGGTCGGTATATATAGGACTATAGAGCTTGGGCAATTGTTGGCGTCGGCTCACCGCCTGGCTGGCTTCCCACCTGTTGCTAGTTCCTTAGTGACTGAAATAAAATTTGAATGAACGATGATGCGATATAAAATTTACATTATTATCACTCATGAACTGTTTGGCATTTGGGAATGAACATGTTTTCTGTTCGTGTCATTTACAAGTGGGCGGTTTCTGACCAAAGGCTCGTAGTTGTGTTCTTGAGATTTCACGTTTCTGTGCTGCTGTCTCACTTCCCTGTCCCTCACCTCTTGCAGCTCGCGGAGAAGTACAAATGCTAAGAAGTGCCTGGAACCCACCCAGCTGTAATGCACACGCACACATGCATGCATACGGCCATTTACACGCATGCATGTGCATGCGGTCGATGCTTTCGAGCATGCACAGAAAACCTCCCCCACAGTCTCTCCAGGCCGCTGTCCAAATGATATGTGACCTGTTTGCGAATTTTTTATTTTGTAATTTAACCTCCGAGGTAGCACATCGACATATAATACGTTTACAAGTAAAGCACATGTGATTATCCAGCAACTCTGCGCCTCGTTCTTGCGGTGCAGACCCTAGGCATATGACTGACTGTATTAAATATATTTTTGGAAGTCGGGTCACAGTAAGGAGGGCATTGCGTGGACACAGGCACATCTTCATTAGCGTGGAGCTGCAGCAGAGTAGGGAATTCTCCAGTGGCTGCCGCTGAGATGGTGCCAGCCCAAGGCGAGATCAGGGCCATGAGGTTGCACGCCAAGGTTGAGAACGCGCACGGTTCCGTACAATAAAATAAATACACAAACCGCAGCGACATCCTTTGGATAAACAACAAACCTGCTCTTTCCGCCCTGCGTCTAGTCAGACTGATAATTAAAGGCCATGGAAAACTGTGTTCTCAGGGGCCATCACGTGACTTTATGTAGTGGGTGTAGATGCCTACTCCTGTGAGTGGGTGCTGTCAGCAATAACTTGTTACCACTGTTGTGGGGTAACATCAGCAGTGGGCTCGCTGCCTCATGGACCTTCATTCCTCGTGCGTTTACATGGCACTCGCGGCGCCCGGTGTGCCTGCCTCCATTTCATCCTGGAACACCGGCACACCAGCTTTATGTTCACCGCTGATTGCCCAAACCAAACACTTAAAATTAATGACGTAATCTTTTGAAGCCCTAAATATGCATTCAGACTTTATGCACTGACACAATCACCAATTTCCAAAACAGCGTTGCTTCTAAATTTTGATTTGAAGCTTTCGTGACTGCAGTAATTCATATTCTTAGTTCTTTCGGTAAAGTCACGTTGAAGGGAAACAACAAAATAATAAAATATATATAAAACAATAAAAATTCTCACGACGTTTCGACCATAACACCGTTTGTGTTATGTTCGAAACGTCGTGTGAGAATTTTTTTAGTTTTATATATATTTTATTATTTTGTTGTTTCCCTTCAGCGTTGCTTCTGTCGAACTGGGTTGTCTTGTGGCGTGGGAGAGCCACGGCTGCCGCGGGAGTTCAGAGCGGTCCGAGTGTTCGTGTACAGTGAATTTGCACGTGCCAGATCGCCGCAACGGAATACTGAAATGACTTGCAGAACAGGAACCTTGCTCATATTAGCAACTGAAAGCATTTCATCCGACCGAAGTATTGCGTCGCTTTGTAAAATACTCGTGTAGCTCAGGTAATTCAGCAGTGTCTTACCCTCAGCTTTATGAAACGGTTGTCATCTCCGCACGCCCCTTCCCCAGACCAGCGTTGTTTACAGCAGGACGCGCGGGGGGCACTGCGGTCAGCGGCTCCGCAGAGCTCGCGCGCGTTACGCGAACCGCTCATCCGCTGTTGAGTCGGTACACGCGACATGAACGCGTGACTTTACACGTGCATTTCAAAGTAAACACCGTTTCGGATCCTGTGATTTTGGTCACAAATCCTTTATACAAATGACACTGTCAGCCCACCAAAGCAATAATGAATGAAATAAGTTACATTGTGTTTAGAAGCTCAGCGCTGGAAACGTATATCTGGTTTATGATCCAACATGTACTGTACAACGCTTTGCTACCGTGTAGTATTGTGTAGATATGTGCCATTGACGAACGTCATCTCCGTTCACCATTACTTCGTTTTGATTCGCTAATGCCACGGTGCATACCAAGAGAACAGACGCTAAGGTACATGCGTAGCGAGGTCGCAAGCCCGATAATCTCATTGTAAGATATTGCTGTGCTTCTGCCCGTCGACAGGAGCGCATGGTCATCTGAGCCCCGTCGGCTCAAGATTTGCCATTACAGCCACATCTTACAATGATGTAAATTAGCTGTGATGTTTGAGGGAAGCTGTAATGGGCAAATCTTGAGACGAAAAGGCTCAGGCGACCATCCAGGGAAAGTGTGCGAGGTAACTTTGCCCTGCATGGTTGCTCGTGGTCGATGTTCAAGGAGAGGGCGATTCAGAGCTTGGGCTGCCACCGTGCGCCCCCTCCAGCGCGTCCCCTCGGCAGCGGGGCCTTTGATGAAGGCCTTTTAACGTTTTCCTTATTTGCCCGCTACTTGTGTTTTTATGCAATTGTATTTTTAACACTAATTTAATTTTGTCTAAGAGGATACAATTATAGCTAGAGATGTCCACATTACGGAATTTGATTTCGCAAATGAATTCTACTGGATGTCCGCAAACACCGCAGGTCTAGTGATCTCAGTGCAAGTGCTTTCTGTGCCTTTTGGGGATTGTCCTCTGATCGAGAAGCGGCTGTCGGTAAACCAAACGACCACCCGAGTTTGTGACGTGGTTTTTTGCTTCACACAAGACTAATGTTTGAATAATTTCCAACCTAATAATTTTTTTGTAAAAATGTTGCAAACCTTTATTATTAATGCTGTACGAGCCAATGTCGTGTGCCAAATAAAATAACGTGTTGGGACGCCACGTGGTCTTTCTTGGTGGAGGATCCGAGCGCGGCGGTGGGTGCCCGGCTACGTGGCCCGCCGCCTCCCTCTCCCCGAGCCCTGATGGGGCCCCCCCTCGGGGCACGCGTTGTGAGTAAACAGTATATTTTTGTGAATACACAGTATTGTGAGTACACAGTATTTTCTTGAGTACACAGTATTTTCTTGTGAGTACACAGTATTTTCTTGTGAGTACACAGTACTTTCTTGTGAGCACACAGTATTTTCTTGTGAGTACACAGTATTGTGAGTACACAGTATATTCTTGTGAGTACACAGTATTGTGAGTACACAGTATTTTCTTGAGTACACAGTATTGTGAGTACACAGTATTTTCTTGTGAGTACACAGTATTGTGAGTAAACAGTATTTTATTGTGAGTACACAGTATTTTCTTGTGAGTACACAGTATTGTGAGTACACACTATATTCTTGTGAGTACACACTATTGTGAGTACACACTATTGTGAGTACACACTATTGTGAGTACACAGTATTTTCTTGTGAGTACACAGTATTGTGAGTACACAGTACACAGTATTGTGAGTACACAGTATTTTCTTGTGAGTACACAGTATTGTGAGTACACAGTATTTTCTTGTGAGTACACCGTATTGTGAGTACACAGTATTTTCTTGTGAGTACACAGTATTGTGAGTACACAGTATATTATTGTGAGTACACAGTACACAGTATTGTGAGTACACAGTATTGTGAGTACACAGTATTTTCTTGTGAGTACACAGTATTTTCTTGTGAGTACACAGTATTGTGAGTACACAGTATTTTCTTGTGAGTACACAGTATTGTGAGTACACAGTATTTTCTTGTGAGTACACAGTATTGTGAGTACACAGTATTGTGAGTACACAGTATTTTTTGTGAGTACACAGTATTTTCTTGTGAGTACACAGTATTTTCTTGTGAGTACACAGTATTGTGAGTACACAGTATTTTTTGTGAGTACACAGTATTGTGAGTACACAGTATTTTTTGTGAGTACACAGTATTGTGAGTACACAGTATTGTGAGTACACAGTATTGTGAGTACACAGTATTTTCTCGGCGTCCCCACGTGTACTCGTCTGCTCACTTGTCCACAATCGGCCTGTGGCTGCCAACATTCTAGCTCCTGCGGAGGGCTTCTCGGCGCTTTTACACCTCGCCCGTCGCCCCATTTATGTCCTCTTTCCCCCTGCCCATGTGTGCAGATACTTCTGACTCTATTGTATGTAGGGTGTGTAGGTATATAGGCCTGCAAAGGATATTTCGGTTTTTTGGGTTGGTCAGCACCACGCCCGGCCGCCTTTATCCCCCCAGTGGTAAAAATAATTCTCACCAGTGGTGGCCGTGAGCGGGAATCGAACTCGGGTCGCTGGGTTCGTAGCACAACGCGCTAACCACTACACTACAATGCGTTACGCTTCCACATGCGCGGGTCACATGACAGATTTGACGTCACAGCTCACTTGCCGTGCAAAAAAAATATGCATTATTGAGCTCCCCGACAAAAAAACAAGTGCATTTTTATATTTTTTGCATGGTGTACACTCTGGAAAGTACCCACATGGCAAATTTCAAGTTTGTTGCATGTCGGGAAGTACGCTAAACATTTTGAACAGACACAATCACAACTTTGCCTTTTATATATATGGAGATGTCGCTATGCGTTCCTATAATGTGGGATTGTTCGTGGTTGCAGGATCTGTTTTGTACATTCCTCACCCGTGCAAAGCTGTGGAAGCCCGATGTTAGGCTACACATCTGATTTGAACGTATGGTCCCCCGTGCTTGTGTTAGCGGTTGATCTTGCACAAATGAGCCCGGTGTGGTACGGCGCAGAAAGCACTCCCAAGTTGGGCAGCTTTTCGATCACGTGAACTCGGGCATAACTGCCACGATCGAGTGCTGTGTTGTCTTGCGGTCAGGACACCCACCTATTCGAGGGGCACTCGCGACAGGCAACGAGGCGAGACTGAGCTGTGATTGGCTTAACTTGCACGTGGGGGGCAGTGAATTACGGCAAGGGGGAAGCGGCGCAACTGCGTGCTCCCGTGAAGCGGAACCCTTGCACCATGGACTGGGGTAAAGCATTGATTGTGAGCTGTACTTCTGGAGATTGAGCTTCGGTTCTGAATGGTGTTGAACTGATTTGGTGTCTGGCGTCGAGTGCTGAATTGGGGTTGCTTGAGGCGCCATCTCGTGAATTTTGAAGGTGGCACGTGGGGTCCCATCATGGGTTAATCTGGGGAAGAGTGCTCACGGTTCTCCACCCCAGTGAGCTCGCCGTATGCCCGATGAGAGTCTGGCTGCCTGTTCTCCGATAGGAACAGTTCTTTTCCCGCTGCATTTGAACTGCGTGATGCCGCTGAGTGTCTCATCCCGCCACACTCCAGTGCGGGTGCCTGACGGATATCACTGCAGGCGGAGCTGACAGCTGCTTACTTTGATGCATCACTCATAGCTGCTGCTGCAGATGTCACTCGCAGCCAGACCCAGCCTATGCAGGAAGGAAGACGGATCACGGCCAAAAACGAGCCCCATTAGGACGTCACCGCCAAGATGCTGCATGATGCGTTTTCACTTATAAACAATCTAGCATATTTACAAAGTAACGTGTGTAGAACGCGGATTGCCGCAATAGTGCATCCAGGTTGCTGCGCAGCACGTGGAGTCTGCAAGGCGTGAATTATGTGCCCTTTGGAAGCAGCGATAGATGTATGTGACACTTGGTGTAAATCATTTTGTAAATCATGTTGCTCAGGTTGGTGGTTTGTAATAAAAACATGAAACCAATCAGCTGTGGGAATCACGTGGAAAGCACCCAAGGCATTTTATTACAATCGACCGATTTTTTTTGGCTCCGCGGCACAAGAGATGCTATTGGTTTAAAAAACGCATTATATGCTATTTTTTACATTGTCTTTGAAACCCTGCACAGTAATGATATTGTTTGTGGTTATTGTAGTTCGTTTTTCAAGCGCAGTGAAGCCCCACCACAAGCTGCACGTATCCTGTCAGAGCTGTGACCTTCGCATGCGCAGCACGTGCTATGCAGAATGAGTGCGAAGCCTTGAATGCTGCGCTGCTGTCCTACAGCTGTCCTACAGCCGTGCTACAGCCGTGCTGTGCGGGCTGCACTCGCGCGCATTCTCCATGAGCGAGCTCTGGCTCCCTTGCTGGAGGCCAGCGGTGTCTCAACTACAGTCCTCGCGATCCCACCCCCCACGGAACAGCCTTCCGTGAGTACAAACCACGAGGTGCGTGCAGCTTGCAAGGGCTTCATTTCATTATGAATAGAAAGAGAGGATGGTCCGTGGGCGGTCGCGAGAAGGGAAGCTTTGGCAGTTGGGTTCAAATGTAATGAAGAAAAGTGTGTGGTGAGTAAAGGACTGTGCAGGGTGGAGGCGGGCAAGATATTGAGACGTGCGTGGGAGTGCCAGCTTGCTCGATAACTCCACACACGCAGAGGTCGGTGGCCACTGGGAAGTCCACCTCACGGGAGATGGGATGTGCCCTGTGGCACAATCATGGGATTTTGCAGAAGGGACAGTGATGGTGAGGTGCAGTGGCGTTCACGTCACTGGCCATGCAAATGATTTCAACAAACTATAACATTCTAGATTTGAAGCTTTCGTGACTGCAAGGATCCATACTCTTTGGTTCTATTCGGTAAAGTCACGTAGTTGGGTAGTTGAAGGCCTTTAGCGTCCATATACTAAATGCCTCTGTTGATAGGTAAACCTTGACTTTAACATAGCTATTTCTGTCACAAGCTAATCCCTCAGCTATTTCAATGCTAAATTCTCCTGCTTTGATAGTACACTCCTTTGTCAAGACGTTTCACGCCTCTCACCGAGCTTAAAAGACGCGACGAATCTCAGCAACGCTCATTGAAGCACTGTCGTCCCGACCGTTCTGTTCTTTCACCTGATGAAGGCTACTTGTGTTGTGGCCGAAACGTCGTGAGAATTTTATTGTCTTATTTTATTTTATTATTTTATTCTCATTCTACGTGACTTTACCGAAAGAACCAAAGAAGATAGTCCTGAATACCTCCACAACCAAGGTGCTATGCTTCTCACCAAGACTAAAGCAGGAAGTAATTTTTCCCCAATTACATTCCTTAAATAATTATCAAATAGAGCAAGTCAAGATCTATAATTATCTTGGGGTCATCCTGGATTCAAAACTGAATTTTGAAGATCACATTGATTATATTGGTAAAAATAAAAAATAAAAAAATGGTTTTCTGTATCGACACAAGCACCGCTTCCCCCCAATGTTCCATTTGGAATTGATAAAAGCTACCATACTGCCTCTACTTGACTACTGTGACATCGTGTATAAATCAGCCCCAAGTCCTGTACTGAAGAAGCTTGATTCCATTTATCACTCGGCCTTAAGATTTACATTGAACTGCCCATATAGGACTCACCACTGTGATTTATACATTGGGTCAAATTTAACATCTCTTAATGTTCGACGGCTTGTGCACCAGATCTTATTTATTCACGATGTACTTACAAAAAAATCCGCAGACTACCTGCTGTATCTCTGTTTCAAAGAACAAATTTGACCTCAGGTCTCGCTCATTTACCAGCTTCACATTCCCTATTTCCGTACAAAAACTGGAGGAAGGGCCTTTGCTATCGATGCCCCCAGGGTCTGGAATGCTATTGCCAATAAACTGCAACTTGATTCGCTACCAATGAGATCTTCTCTCAAAACTGCTCTAGAGGAGTTGTACACCCCTAGCTGCCACTGATATTCATTGGCGTAAAATAAAATAAAATGTTTTCGCTCCGGATGACGCAGCAAAGTATTATCTGTATTTTTATTTAGCGTGCTGATCTTAAAGGTGCATTGAAAAATTTGATACTCCGACTGATGCTTCTGTTGTTGTGGAGTAACTCATGCAGCCAGCTATGGCTCTAGGATTTGGTGTTACATGTTATTTATGTAGTTTATTGTAAAAAT